GTGCCTCTCGTGACACACCTTTGTGCGAACATTCTCATCGCGTTGAACGTCGCGAGCTGGAGTGCCACGCTCCCTCATGACCCCAGTGACCCCAGAAGCACGTGGCGATGTTCTTGCACGAGCGGCAAATACCTCAATACGTAAATACATCGCTGGGGTGTTTTGCCTTTCCGCGCAAGCACTTGAGAAGACGTCCCTCTGTGTTACGGCTTCCAAACTTTGACGAAGTGCGTTCGACAAAACCTGTACGTGGCACATTCACCCACGACTGATGGTATCATTATTGTACTCGTAATAATTGAAATTAAGCAAGCTACAACTGCCAATTGCATTGTTAAAAACGGATGTCCCATATATGCAATTATGGTGCATTGCATTCCTGTTGCCTCACGTACGTTTAAAAACCCGAGTGTGTGTTCAACTTACCACTAACAGAGTGTGGGTGAGGGAGGGGAGCGGTGGTGCAGTGGTTAGCGTAATTTTATGATTGCAGCCGCTTGAGATTGATTCCCAGCCACGGCTCACATCAGTGGCGAGTGGTCACAGGTCGCTCCCTTCACCAACCAGCAATGACCAGGGTGGTGAAGTATGGTCAGCGTGGCCAAGCAAGACCCCACGAACGATGTGGTGCGGGGCAGTCATTCATCCAGCAGTGGATTAACAAAAGAGCTGAACGCATTAAATATATAATAAACCACGAGCTACGAAGTAGTGTAATTGATGTACCACATAATCAGTTGTGCATCCTGGCAAGACTTTGCGTAATTAATTACCTAATTAGGTTACTGAATTATCGAGCCACCTCATATTATCCCAGATGCCAGCTCTAAATTGTCTTTTCCTCGTGAGCCGTTTATAATCAGGTAATTAACAGCTAATTTACAACTGGCTACAATTACAGTGTGGATTTATACACGAGGAGTCTAAAGGGGCAGCTGCATCTCATGATGAAACATCGGGACATAAGCATCCTGGGCAAAGGATGTCTTCCGTTATTTTGCTTGAAAGAAACATTCAGTCATGGACAGCATAACAGATGAAGGTGTTAAGTCGGGATTTGTCCGGGGGGGCAGGGAGGCAACAGCCCAGAATGCTGAGAGAAGAGAGTTCCAAAGTCCAAACTATGGGGGCAGCAGAGGGGAGGTCGACAGCGCAGACTCTCACTGAGCAGAGGCTGACCGGCCTTTGACATTCGCAGGCGTGGTTGCGAGTGCAAAGATTACCTTGGAGGCGAGTAGGGTGAGATGGCACATAAGAGGCAGATGAGTGTGAGGAGGAGAGTGTAGCGAGATGAGAGGGCGAGGTAGGAGAGTGCGTAGAGGGGAGTAGAGTGAGATTAGAGGTAGGACAGTGCGTGGAGGGGAGTAGAATGAGATGAGAGGATGGAGGTAGGAGAGTGCGTGGAGGGGAGTAGAGTGAGATAAGAGGGGGAGGTAGGAGAGTGCGTGGAGGGGAGTAGAGTGAGATGAGAGGTAGGAGAGTGCGTGGAGGGGAGTAGAGTGAGATGAGAGGGGGAGGTAGGAGAGTGCGTGGGAGAGTGCGTCCCACCTGATGACGGAGACTTGTGTTGCCTCCGAAACGTCGTGATCTTTATTTTATTTTTATTAATTTTGATGTTTTACCTACGTGACTTTACCGAAAAAACCTAAGAATAGGGAGTAGAATGAGATGAGAGGAAGGAGGTAGGAGAGTGCGTGGAGGGGAGTAGAGGGACATGAGAGGGGGAGGTAGGAGAGTGCGTGGAGGAGAGTAGAGTGAGATAAGAGGGGGAGGTAGGAGAGTGCGTGGAGGGGAGTAGAGTGAGATGAGAGGTAGGAGAGTGCGTGGAGGGGAGTAGAGTGAGATGAGAGGGGAGAGGCAGGAGAGTGCGTGGAGGGGAGTAGAGTGAGATGAGAGGGGAGAGGCAGGAGAGTGCGTGGAGGGGAGTAGAGTGAGATGAGAGGGGAGAGGCAGGAGAGTGCGTGGAGGGGTGTAGAGTGAGATGAGAGGGGAGAGGCAGGAGAGTGCGTAGAGGGGAGTATAGTGAGATGAGAGGGGAGAGGTCGGAGAGTGCGTGGAGGGGAGTAGAGTGAGATGAGAGGGGAGAGGCAGTAGAGTGCGTGGAGGGGAGTAGAGTGAGATTAGAGGGGAGAGGTAGGAGAGTGCGTGGAGGAGAGTAGAGTGAGACGAGAGGGGAGAGGTAGGAGAGTGCGTGGAGGGGTGTAGAGTGAGATGAGAGGGGAGAGGCAGGAGAGTGCGTGGAGGGGAGTAGAGTGAGATGAGAGGGGAGAGGTAGGAGAGTATATGGTGGGGAGTAGAGTGAGATGAGAGGGCAGAGGTAAGAGAGTAGATGGTGGGGAGTAGAGTGAGATGAGAGGGGAGAGGTAGGAGAGTGCGTGGTGGGGAGTAGAGTGAGATGAGAGGGGAGAGGTAGGAGAGTGCGTAGACGAGAGTAGTGAGATGAAGGGGGGGAGGTAGGCAGGTCAAGTAAATGGAAGATCGTGAAGATTGCAAGTTGCGACCCTGCGTTTGATCTCGGATTGGACTGGAGGCCAGTGGAGAGCTTGGATTATCTGGGTGGCATGCTCCTGTTTGTATGTGCAAGCAAGGAGTTTGGTGGGATTTTAGATCAGCTAGAGTTTGGAGATGAGAGATTTGGGGAGAAGAGAGACTTGAGGGATTTGGGGAGGCCGTAGAAAACTTGCGGTTGTCGATTATGAATGTTATGATGGCATGGGTGCGGTGTGTGTTACGGGTTCACGTGAATCCTGCAGCCACAAGTGGCCGCTACTGACAGTTATGACGATTGCAAACAACAAATATTTATTGTTGAATCGAATTGTGACCCTGAATCGTGACAATTCACCACATCACCAGGTGGTGGAGAGGGGGCCGGGGGCATGGGAATGTTGACATCCCTACTCAGTCGGGGCGCCACGGTGGTGAGACGTTAACTACCTCGCCTGGTATACAGCTGGTCATGGGTTTGATCCCCACCTTGATGCTGAGTAGTCGCTGCTGGAGTTTGCATGTGCTCCCCGTGGCCGCGTGGATTTTTCTCCATGTCCTCCGGTTTTGACCCTCCACATTTAGAATCAACAATCACGCGTTTAGAGTATTTGGCTGCTTGAAATTCCCACGTGATAAGCCACTTCGTTCGGCGATCATTTGTGACAGCCAGGTCGCTTCTGGCAAAGTGCTGTATAGCTCAGTGCGCCTTACCTGCTCGAATAGAAGTAGCAGTAGCACGCTGAATTGGCACGAACGCTGCTGCCCTCACTGAGCAAATGGATCTTTTTTTCCGAGCGGTCGCCTTCCCTTGACGGTGACAACGACGGCTTTCACCGGGCAAATCGTCGCAGCGCCCCGCGGACGCATCTGCAGGCGACTTTCTGAGAGCCAGCGACGCAAATCCCACCGAGTGGAAATGCCCCGCGGCTACGAACGCAGCTCTCGCTCCCTCCGCCACTGCTCCAGCTCAAGTCACGACGTGCGAACCCCCCCCCACCACTCCCCCCGGTGGCCCAGCCGAGACTGGGCCACCGATAAAAACTAAAGCAACCGCAAATAAATAAATAGACAAATACGTAAATAAATAACAAGCAAACCCGGGGGAGTGGGGTGGATGCAAATGACACCACGGACAGGAAAAAACAAAGACGAAAGAAAATGTAAACGTGTTTGTTTCCACACATCCGCTTGAACTACGACTAAAGTTGCTGCCCCTTGCAACGGCGGAGTACTCGGACGAGAACGATGACACGCAGTAACGTACAGCGCTGTCTGTCAACCAATCGCTGGACGGTGGTCACGCGAGTTGCCTTGGCCGCGCTTCTTCACCACGCTGGTCAGAACCAGTTGGTCAAGACGGGGGAGCATAGGGAGCACACTGCGCAGCAGTGGAGGTCGCTGCGCTGCCCTCTGCTGCCCACCAAGTAGCCACGCAGCAGCCCTGGCAACGCTCTGACGTGCATGCCGGTCTCTAAACGAAACTAAAACTATTTTTTTTATTTTACCAGGTAAGGCCCACTGAGCAGTCTACACCTCTTTGTCAGAAGCGACCTGGCCACAGGTGATATAGCTCAACGAATGGGGCATATCGTGTGAAAATTTATGTCGGCCAAATACTCCGAACGCATGTTTTCTAAACGTGGAGGGAAAAACCAGAGGACCCGGAGGAAAATCCAAACGACCACGGGGAGAACATGCAAACTCCAAATATACAGGCGGCAGGGTCGGGATCGAATTCACACGACCTCCTGTATACCAAGCGAGGTAGTTAACATCTCGCCACCGTGGCGTCCCAAAGGCTGAGATAGAAAGTTATTGGATAGTCACCCATTCAAGAACCCCACAGGCTCAAACCTGCTTAGCTTGCTTTCAAAATCTGGTGAGATCTGGCGGGGAGAGGTTATTGAACAACTCGAGGCACGAGACGAGAGAGGGGTGCTGTTAGTGCGGCTTTCGAGAAACAATGTCCCACTGTACTCACCTCCGTGGCAGGAAACCTCTGACAGTGGAATACTCCCCTTCTGAAGTTTGTCAAAGTAATTCATTGGATGGATTTTTTTCCCTTTTTTTTCACCCAGAGGCTATGGTTGTGGGGTTTCGTTTTTGTGAGCAAATGGAAAAGTTTACCCACTCCGGCTTGGGCTTTTACTGCGTCGTCGAAACGCAAGCCGCCATAAAGAAACGAAGCGCTTTAAATTTAAGAATAAATAAAATAAACCGTACATCAATGGTAGCTAAACTGCATAGCTAGCACGATAATTGCCAAGACAAACATTCTAAAACAGCTCCCAACGCGACGTAAAAAAAATATTACACGAAGTTACCGAACTGAGAAATTTGGTGGCGTGCTCACCGATGCAAACACGGCCCTCCACCCACGAAAATGTTGTATCGCTCTCGCGTTACCCTCGCCGTTTACAAAAGGGCCTCGCTCAAAACTTATTACGGCCCCGAGGGGCGCCGGTCAGGATTTGGAGGTGGGGGGCGGCGGCGCCCGCTGCGACACTCACCGGGGCTGGCTCCGCTTGGCGGTGGTGCGGTCACCTCCGGATGGGGGGCCCCCGTCGGAGGTGGGGGCGGCCGCGTGGGCCTCCACGTGCCTCGCTGTCCCCTCGCCTCGAGCTGGGCCCGCGCCTCGGCCTGCTTGCGCTTGTTGCCCAGCGCGCCAGACTTCCGCTCCCTCGCGTCGTGAAGGTCGCCGCGGCGAGTCTCCAGGGGGTGCTTTTCCCCGTTCGCTCGTGACCTTTTGGGCGCCTTCGTGGCTTTGAACTTCGACGGTGATTTCGGCGACGGTTTAGACGATGGTCTTGACGCCTCCTTGTTGCTGGCTTTGACTGTGCCGACCTTTTCAGAGAAGGTTCGGTTCCTGCCTCGCTCCAGGGCAGTAGTCTTCTCTTCCACGCGGTCGGCCTCCTCCTCCTCCCCACTCTGCCCATCCTCCCCGCCGGCCCCACCGTGTTGCGCCTGCTTCCTGGGCGCCGTTGTTCCGTCTCCGTGCAAGGGGAGAATAACCGACGCGGGGGTCGGGCTATACCTGAGCCAGGTTTGCGGCGCGCGCCCGCTGTCGCCGCCGTCTTTCAATCCTCCGGCCGGCACCGGCGGCTCCGGCGTTGGTGTCACGCTCTCGACAGCACCTCTCGGTTCTCCATCGAGCGCTGTGCCGTCCTTGTAGAGTGGCAGCACGAGTGGCGGGAGACGTTCCGCGCTCGCCCGGGAGACTCCGCCAGCCGGCGAAGCCCCTCCTGTGTGACCGCCACCGTTCTCGTCGTCGCTGCTGCTCTTGTCGTCGCCGTCACGGTCGTGGTCGTCGTCGTCGCCGCGCTCGGTGCCATCTCCGCCGGATCGGCATCCGGGCTCCGGGTAGCACAGGAGCTCCCCGCCCACGTCCGGGCAGTGGCACACACGGCAGTCGGGCAGGCGGACGGTGAAGCCGGCGTCGTACTCGCGGCCGTCGGGTGCCACGCAGCCGAGGCGCGCGCACTCGGGGCACGCGTCTTGCGGCGCCCGCACGTCCACGCAGCCCGCCGGCAGCTCAGGGCACGGCATGAAGCGACAGTCGATGGAGCCGCCCCCTGCTGGGCACCGGCACTCCGTGCTGCCATCGTCGACGAAGTAGGAAGCCCCTTCCGGGACCTTGGACGCACATGCGGGGAAGAAGCAACGCTCCACGAGGTTTACATTTAGTACGTACATATGTACCTTGAACTTATTTCGCACCGTACGTCGCCAACCACGCTAATCAGAGGTGCTGGCGGGGAAGGACAACAAACGAAACACAAAAAGCAGTTCTAAATAAGTGAGTTTATCAATCTAGATTTAAAAATGCATAGCTTCGATGGCTTCCTAATGTCGTGGTGTTATTTCACTCGGACAACTTTTTCGTTTCTTCCATGTCTCTTAATTTGTACAGAACTCCTCGCGTTCAACACCACGCATCTCCGTCACAACTCCTCCTCTTGTACTGCTCGTCTGCTACTCTACGCTCGTTCTCTCTCGCTCCGCTAGCCTGCTATGTTGCCCCCTTCTAGCTTCTCCACTGCTAGCCTCTCACTATACACTCCGCTAGCTTCTCCACTGCTAGCCTTGGCACACTCACACTTAGGGTTCCGTGAGTCTCTCTACTGCTAGCCTGTCTACCCTCACTCCTCCAACCTCGCCCCTGCCTCCAGCGGGGGATCAGCCAACACTGCTGGAGAGGACGAGGTTTGGAGAGCGGGGACCCGGACTTCTCTTTGATTCACTCTTGTCTTCACTGCAACCAACTCAACCCCTCTGCCTCACACGTTCCCCTTTTATCCTCCTCCTCATTAAGTGACCCCAGATGGCCCTCATTAAGCCAGCGTCCTCCCCACGCCTCACCCACGTGGTTTCCCCCTTATCACCACTATCTCTCGCCTCCGTGGCGCCTACTCCGCGTTTGCATTTGCAGCCAGCCAATCACTGCCTCTTCCCCTAATTGCTGGCATCTCTCTGTTTGCTGTCACCCAGGCCACCCGCCTGCACCTGCTTGTCCTTAGCTGACCTCACTGTCTGCAACCCCGTACATAATGCAACTGCTGTTTGCAAACCCTGCGCGCCTTACGCCATTACACTAATATAGGATGAAAGAGCATTCCATGTGGCCACAGAAGCGTATCTGAAAGCGTGCGATGCAGTGACCGTCTATCATGCACATTTAATATGCCTGCGTGATAAACAGGGTTGTGCATGGTATGGTCAAATAATACTTGAGGCCAGCGTAACGTGACGAGACCCTAGTATCTGGCAGTGTGTTGCCCATGTAAGGTTGCAAGAGATGTAATGTGTCTGTAATTGAGGAAATATGTCACGGGATTCCCGTGAATATTTTTTGTTACGCAGAGGTGTCTTAAGGGCCCATTCTGACCGGAAGGAACTATGGGGACCAATATTTGTTCTTCTTTGCTAATCTCTAGGAGGAAGACTTTCCTGGAGACTGCTTTAGCCGCGTAGGTTTTGACAGTCGTGCTGCTCTACGGCTCTCCGATGTGTTTTCTGGTTGGACCACGCGCTGTTCGGCAAGATGTCCAACTTTTCGATGCACGTGCCGAACTGCATCCAGTTCCCAAAGAAGCTGTGGTGGCTATGCACGCGGCCTGTAATCCAGCACTGTGGAGGCCGCGAGGGTTGATGGATCACCACACAGATGTTGTGAAACTCCCCTTTCCGTGGGGATTGGGGAGGTGCCATGTCCTGGCTCACCAGGGCAAAGCAATAACCACCACCTGTTTCATATGTATAGGACAGAGTGTATCCTCCTTCCATCGCAGTATGGGGTTCGTTTTCATTAGTAAGGGGATTGGTGGTGCAGTGGTTATCGCTGGGTTATGTATTCTGACCTAAGACTGATTCCTGGCAAACGTTAACAGTGGTGACTGATAACTGGACCGATCCTGGGCTTCCCACCCCCTGCCTTTACAAATCCCTACTGACCAGTGTGGTGAAGTATGGTGGAAACAACCCCCACAACCAACACACGTGGAGCGGCCTTCATCCCGTTGTGGCTTTGGCAAAGGGCGAAACATTCTAATGGGAGGTGACAGCGACTCATTAGTGTGGCATTTGTTGTGGAGTGAACCCAGCAGTATGGGGTTCAGTCTCGTTAGCAATTCACACGGACACCCACACGCAGGGATGTGAGGACCCTGCCCTGTGAAGGTGTGCGAGGAGACGGCGAGGGCCCAACTTCTGTGACCACCAAGGAATCGTTTTTCCCCGGTTGAGAGTGAGCGGCGGTGGCATCGGAAGACTTGCTGCACGCCGAGCTCAATTGTCCAGTCATTTGTGAATCAAATTTCTGGTGCTCCGGTTTCCTCACACATGTATAAACCCTCATTAATGGACTTGAAAAAAACTATTTCATATATTGAGGACTGCAGAGCTTGGGCAATTGGTGGCGCCGGCTCACTGCGTGGCTGCTGATGTTGAGTCGTCCTCTCTCTCTGAGAGCGAGTGAATACTTGTGCACGTTGTAAGTTGAAAGTATATATATACGTAACGTTCATCATGAGCTAGATTACCCTGGCAATGGTCATATGTGACTGCTCCAACGGGTCGCCCATGCCAAGATCTTCATCTAGAAACAAAGTGCCTCGACAATGCATGCCAACATTGCATTATGCAACGCAATAAAACACCCACTCCTTGCCTTTATAGGATCTGGCCCCACGGCATTGGCCGCCCTGCTATCGGGATACTGCAATTCTCAATTATAGCAAAAAATCATAAAAGTCACCGTGATATTGTATGTGTATGGGTGTGGGGAGCGGGAGTGTAGCGGTTAGCGCGCTGCGCTACGAACCCGGCGACCCGAGTTCGATTCCCGCTCAAGGGCAAAACCAGTGACGATTATATGAACCGGTCATGGGCCTCCCCTAGGTCGACTCAGCCACAAATGAGTACCTGGTGTGGTGTGTAAACATCGCCACTGGGGAGACAAAGGTGGCCGGGCGTGGTGATGGCCACCCACCCTCTCGCATGCCGTTTTGGCCTTCATAGGTGCTCGCTAACAGCACTGGCCCCAACAGACTGTTAAGGCTATGCAGGGGATCTCTGTGTTTGTCTGGGTGTTTTCCATGATGACAGAAATACAGAAAGCCAATGTGGGGATATGAGCTACAGTGATGGAATGGCCTCGCACTGACCCTGTTGGTTAATATTTACAGCCCTTTTGTCCATCCAATGCTGGATGAAAGCCTCCCCCCGTACGTGGGTCAATGCGTGTCGATGAAGGCGGACAGCATAGATGCGGGAACATAGTGCAGTACAACAATAGATGTCACCAGACTGCAAAATGCAATGTAGTCCCCACAAGCAGCCTGTAAACGTGTGTGTTTTACGCATGTTAGTTGCCCATCCGAGCACTAAGCAGGCTCAAACCTGCTTAGTTTCCGAGATCTTACAATATCGAGCACGTTCCGGGGTGATTCGCTCATGTGGCTCTGGTCGTGCACGAAGTGGCCAATCACATTTACAAGCTACGAGAGCCCAAATGGCGCTCATGTTCAATGTTACGGTTTGCCGTATTCTGCGTGCCATGCTGTAGTCCCGTAAACCGTGAAATGGGCCACGTTTAATCAGACAGGTGACGGCAGATCTCTGCCACGCGTGACAAAACGCCGGTCAATTCTCTCAGCACAGCCGAGACGTGCAGGCCAGCACAAATCCTCTTAACGATTGATGCGCAAAATGCACCTGAACAATCGTCATCAACTGGACGTCTGTGAAAAAGAGCTTCAGGGCTCACTATTCCTTCACCACAAAATTAATATTCTGATAAACGCGTGCCCTCCCGGTAACCCACAAGATCGCGAGCCAACGTTCTTAACCACTGCCGAACGAAGGCCCTCTCAACGAGCGTCCTCGCCATCCCTAAACGGGTGGGGGCCGCACGCGCCGCCGGCTGCAGGGGATTCGGCGTCGGCGTTCACCTTGCCGTTGGTGAACCCGGCGGCCACGCAGTCGTAGTACTGGTAACCGCGGCAGGCGCAGCCGTGGCGCAGGCACGTGGCGCAGCAGGCGCCGGGCTCCAGCGTCTCCTCCACGCAGCGCTCGTCCTCCACGCACTCCACCCCCGTGCAGTCCCAGCCGCCGCCGAGCGCTGGACCCCCGGCCCGAACACCGTCGCCACCGCCGTCACCGTCGCCACCGCCGTCACCGTCCGACGCCGGCGCCGAGTCGCCGAGCGCCAGCGCGCAGCACGGGCGGAACGCCGATGGGAGCACGAGGTGGAGGAGGAGGGAGAGCGCGACGACGGCAAGGAGGCCAGCTGGTTGGCGCGGCTGGCTTCTCATTGCGCTTGGGCGGCTTAGGGAGCCTCAGGGGCTTCCCACCTTTTGCGAGTGGCGTCCGTCTGAATTAGCCAGGGCAGAGGGAAAGCCACGGGGATGGCGATCAGTTCAACACTGGTGTTGGGGACCTTAAGTCACTGGCCGCTGCGTCGGCTTTGACGATGTTGGTCGTCTCCACGTGGAATTGCGTCCATACGGCTCCATGCCAACCCGCTGCTGGGTGAGGGCCTCGACACGTAGTGAGGGCGGTGAGGGTTGTGCGACTCTACTTCACCACGCCAGTCGGTGCAGGTTTGAAGTTCAATAGGGTGAGAGTGCAGTACAACAGTGCGATATTCTGCATTGCCCTCTGCTGCACCCAGCACGTAGCCCCACGGCTGCCTACAGCGACCTTCCCAGCACCTCCGATTAGCACGGTTGGCTACGTACGTTGCGAAAGAAGTTCAATATGCATACAACGTGGAGTACATGGCACCCACCAGTCCAACAACTGCCCGGCGGACTGAACCAACCCCACTCAGCTTCTGACATTAGACGAGATTGGGCACGTTTCGACTGATTTGGTCTCAGGCTCTCTGTATGTACTGGGAATTAAATGGGCACGCTGCCCTTGTTTATAGGGCTGCAGGCGAGTAGAGTGCAAGGAATAATGGAATCAAATGCAGCCCTCGTGGGTATGTGCACACAAAAGGCAAAGACAAAAATCCACCGTATATCCTTAACAGACTGTTGGGGCAAGTGCTGTTTGTGAGCATCTATGAAGGCCAGCATGGCACAAGAAGGGGTGGGTGGCCAACAACACGCCCGATCGCCTTTGTCTCCCCAGTGGTGATGTTTTTACACAACGCACCAGGTACTCATTTGAGGCTGAGTCGACCTAAGGGAGGCCCAGGACCGGTTTGGATAATCGTCACTCGTGTTGGCCATGAGCTGGAATTGAACCTGGGTCGCCGAGTTTGTAGCGTAGCGTGCTAACCGCGACACTACCGCTCCCCACTTTGTATGTATGTGCACACATACGCATACACACATGCATTAATTAGTTTTATTCTTGTGCTTGTATTCCAAGGAAAGCCTCACTATATCTACAGACTCTTTTTAAGGAGGGCCCTACCAGGTTTCCACAGTAATAGGCGATGTTGCTGCTGCTGTATGTAATCCCCATTGAGTAATTTGCAGGGTTTTTTTTGTATAATTGAGATGTTCGACCAATACCAGTGACATTGCGTGTGTGTGCCACGGTGGCAAAATGTTAACTACCTCGCAAGATGTAAAGGAAGTTGTGGGTATATTTGGAGTTTGCATGTTCCACCCGTGGTGGCATGGATTTGGCTGCAAATAAATGTTCACATGATAAGCCACTTCGTTGAGCTATCATTTGTGGCCAGGTCGCTTCTAAAAAGAGCTACATGGCTCAGTGGGCCTTAATTGCTAAAAATAAAAAAATGTTTTTAGCATTTGGTTTCAGCTATAGGAGGAAACCAGAGCCCGGAGGAAACAGAGGGAGGGGGGACATACAAACTCCACAAATAAAGGCATCCGAGTCAGGTATCGAACCCAGGACTTTAATGCCGCAAGGCACAAGTGTCACCACTGCGTCACCCTGCCACCCATCAGCTCGTGTGTGTACTTGATTACGAACGTAAACACTTTCAAGCATGGTGTGTTTACGATGCCCACGGACACTAGAATCAGTGAGTCAATAGAATCCTTTAATCTGCCATATAACGACCAATCGGATATATATCTTGGAGTAATTAAATTTGACTATGCACACGAACATCCCACTCCTGTTGGACTCAAGAGCCTCAACATAAAAATGCAATGAAGAATCTGCAGAAAGGTGCCTGGACCATAACTGTCTCAGAGTTCTTGCAGTTATTCAATCTCAGCCAATAACCCTCAGGGGATTGCACAACAGCACTCCACAAACACTCGACTTTTTAAACAACGCCATCCAATTGAGTTATTAGACGCGCGCGGAACCCATCCCGTTAAAATTTCACCATCGAGACGTTTCGCGAAATGTGTTTTATGTTTATTTTCTTGCGCATCATTAATAGGAACTTACCCAAGGCTGCACGCGGACTCCAATATCGTTCTTTCAAGACATGAAATATTAACTGTGCCTTGCCATCCTTCACAAATGCCAAATCTGAAGCCATCTGCAAGACTTATGCACCAGTGTGAAATGCCTGTTGTGTTTGGCTTTGCATTTTGAGCACATATTACTCGAGCCGGTGCAGAATTTATTTTTGTCCGTCTTTCTTCACAGAGACAGACGACACGTAAAACGAAATGAACTCGGAGCATCTGAGATACTGACCAGAGACCCCAATACAGCAGCAAATCACATGGCGGGACAATGTGAAGCCCAAATGAATGACCAAGGTTTTTTTATTTTGAGACATCAACTGAGCCAACAAGAGGAAAGAAACAGAACACCACTAGGCCAATGTGAACACTCCCCATCAACTAAAATTTATATTTAATCTAAGATTATATTAAATCCAGCCGGCTCTCTGCGTGACGAAAGAAAACTGATTTCGGGCAATTTTTTTCCCTCTTTCACAAAACTACTTTGTAAGTCAGCAAATTTCATTTCTCAAAATGCCTCGTGTATAATGCGCCGCGAGGAGGGTTGGTTCCAAAAACGATCGCACCAAACCAGTTTGTTACCTTTCGTGCACACGAGCTCCTATCAGCGGTGGCTGTTGACGGAAAATAATATTTTCTTGCACACCACCAGGCATTCATCGGACAACAAAGCCAAAGCGAGAAGCGGCATACCGGTTAGGAGAAGGCGTCGCAGCTCAAGCGTCCCTCTACCTCCACGGGGCTGCCGGCGGGTGCTTAAAAACAAATCTGCTTCTGAGTAAAATCCCCTCTGAAGAGGTGCAGACGAAGCCGTGACGAGAAGTACGCAGCCCGCGCCACCGCCGCCGTGCGCTTGGACAGATGACAGTGACTTGGACGCCCGCTGGACACCCGAGGCGTAGGTCCTGGCGAGCGCAAATATTTTCAACGCGACGGGGGTGGATGTGTCACTTCCCTCCCTCTCCCCCCTCTACCCACCAAAGACGTGGTGCTCAGGAAGGCCGGCTAGCTAGGTGCGGGGAGGGGGGGTTTCGAGCGAGGGCTCTGAGACGGTGGTTGTGGTAGGTGGTGGAGTGGTGCTGAAAGGATTTTGGGAGCTGGTTTTTGTTTGGGTGGAGCAGAGGGCGTGAGTGCTCACCCACCGTTGGGATTTGCCGTCCACTCGCGTCATCCCTGCTCCACCTCCTAAATCGCCACCCCCCCGCCCCAACCGACCACACTCCTTGCCCGGCCAGTGGAACGTGATGACCACACGTGAGGCGTGGCACCCAGTGGTGGCCCTGCAAGGTGGCACGCCCAGAGGGTCAATTGTTACGTAAGTTCAATCAGAGCGGCGTTGTTATCTGAAACGGCAATTACAGTTTTGAATTGCAATTCATTACCAACGATGCAATGAGAATTGTCATTGATCCCTGCCTTGCGAGATGCCCGATGGACCAGAAGTTGGTTAACAAGAATCAACAAATGATGTAAAAACAAATTCACAGCTGAACTATTTACTGGCAACACCACTGCATGTGTTTTTGTGGTTGTGCTGTTTAAGTGTCCGACGTGTTTTTGGGTTCCCAGTCAAAACATTCCAACGTTGGGTCGACGCTGGCACATGGCTGGAACAATTCGGCACGACATAGATGATTCGCTCCGCATGACTGGGAGCTTCCTCAACTCAATTCCGGAAGAATCTCCCGGGACGTGGCGCAACACGTCGGACATCGTGCCGAACAACACGCGGCTGTGACCCGAAAATACTTTGAAAGGTGCATGCTAAAACTGCTGCATCCTTCTAGCAATGCAAACGTCATCTTTAGTTTTGCACAACAGACTTCTTCAGTACAATTTACAAGGCTGCATTATTCCTTCGCCGAACCCATGGCATCTGTACCAAATCCATTAAATCATTTAAAATAAAAAAGCTTCTCACGTGGGGCCACACACACACACACTCACCACCCAGCACACAGGAACGACTGGCAGAACACTTGGAGCTTTATGTACACTAAAAGTACACACACACACAGCCCCGTTCTGTATTGTGTGGCGCGTACAGGCAAGCGGTTTGCAGTGCTTTAAGTGAAAACGGGTGTATTTGTGCGTGCAAGTTGCATACAATGCGAGCTAATGTGGAGAGTGTAGCACCAGAGCCTGGCGCTTGCGAGCGCAGACTCCCAATGTTTATTTGCGTTTCCTTCTCTCCCACAATTAAAGGGGCGCACGCGTAAACAAGCCTCTTCCAGAGCCCATTAATAAAGAACTCCGTCCATTGGGCTAAGTGGATGTGTGGCTTTCTGGGTACACTGACATGTCCACGTAGAGCAGCCCTTTTGTCCCTCCACTGCTGGATGACAGCCCCCCACTCCCCAGGACTTAGAGGATCATAGGGAATGGTAATTTGACCATAATACACAACGCCGAGCTCGTAAAGACCAGGAGTATAGACATGATAATATTAATTACTTATTTATCCAGGGAAGCCACACTGAGTTGTATGACTCTTTTTCAGAAGGGGCCTCCTACATTGGGATTTTAATCTGAGATGTTTTCTGCCAATTCACAAGTGGGAAGAAACCGGAGGGCCCAGAGAAAACCTGTGCATGCGAGGGGGCAACGCTCTATCGCCGTATAGATTCAAACTGATGGTGATTAGCCCACTTGCTGTACCGTCACCTCTTGGCTAGCCAGGGTATGATACCTCGATGCTCTTGAGGAGGGAGCCTCACAACATTGGGGCGATCCACCCACCCTCATCTTCACAGTGCTGGATTACAGGCCACGCGCGGAGCCAACCACCGCATAGAAGTATGGCACAGCAGTTGATGTTGCTGGCCCATCTTCAAATCCCCACTACATAACCCCGAAACCCCATGACAATGCATTTGTGTACAGTGGTCACCCATCCGAGCGCTGTCCAGGCTGAGACCTGCTTAGCTTCCGATATACAATGAGCTGGCGTGCATTCCATGTGATTTGATCATGCTCTTTTATAGCGCTGTGTACACATCGTAATACGCAAATATACCAATGTGTTGAAATAAAAACGTTTTAATAAGTGTATCGAGTATTACCTGCTGTGACACACGTGGCTCCAGACACATGGACGCTGGCAAAGCACTGGGAGATGGAGAGAGGAACGCGCAAGTTAGAGGCATCATATTGACTGGGCAGGATATGTCCCTGGAAAGGATGATGGCCCGGTGATCGAGACTAAATCCATTGAAAATCAAAGGAGGGAACACACCTGAAAAGACATCCACCAAGAGACGGATCAATGAAACCAGCTTGGGTGCAGGAGCCATATGGGTTGTTGCTTTGCACGGCTTCGGGAGGCCTTCATGAAGCAGTGGATAGATCGTGGCTGATGAGTATAATTATCGCTAAATATGTATGTTACGCTAAAAAATGCGTACAGGTACATATGTACAAATTCCTTAAAGTGGGATGAAAACTCGTGCACCCATATTCAACACTCAACAAATTAACTTTACAACATTCTCTGTAACAATCTCCAAACTTCCACACAGGCCATTTCCATGTCCCATCCCCACCCAAATCAGATAAAAACAAAATTACACTACTGTACACATACATACATTTATCCAGTGATGGCCCGATACGGACAGCTGCAACTGGACGCGCCCCAGAAACATGCGGTCTCACTGCTGGAGTTAAGCAATCGAATATGCGCCCATACACAACTATTCAACGTTAAGAGCATTCATCACCCGGGCTTGCTGTACCACGTGGAATTGTGTTCATGATTAACCACGTACAGCCAACCGGACTCCAGCTTTTAAAATGCTGCCAGGTTCCTGGCGCAGTGGAGGCCCTCAAACCGCACATCGCTCACGCAGCGCCTTCACCCCCAGATGCCTGGCATCAAGCGCATTAAAGTTGAACTCGGTGTTGTGTCGGCGCATATCAACAAAATATGTTTAGGTCCATCAGCCTATTGGCTTTTCGGGTCAATTTTAGCCGGCAGCAAGCACTTGTTTAAGCAAACGAACTCTGGACTATCCATAATACGTTTTTTTTTTGGGTTAGATCGCATAAATATATAAATGTGTGGTTAAACCCGCCACCACCCGACACAGCCAATTAGTAAGGTTAGTCACGTAAACAGAACATGCGAATTAGTTACTAGTACAGCACACCGGTGTGTTGGAGAGCAAAGCCACAACATTTACAATCTGAGTACCACGTTTTGCCAGTAATTACAACCAGCATCATCAGGCGACAGCCAGATTTGTAAAGTCCTCCTGTTGCGTTCCTTAACTAGAGGCAAAGATGTGGTGACCACACTTGTGCACTCTTCTTCTCTGGACCAGTTCCAACCTTCTGGGTCTCATCATCAGCAGTGTCAGGCTTGTTAAACAAATGCTGCTGGATCGCCAGATGGTACTTTATCAGCAGCATAACTAGCGTGCTGGCCAAAGTTACGAGTTGGGGCCCCCTTGACAACCAAGATGAGTGCCCCAACAGCGTTAAATGATTCGAGACCGTGAGCGTAACGATGTGATCAGGAAAGAGGAGCAGCGATATATAGCCTAGGTGCGACCTTGCGAGACAAATCAAATATTTGGGCCCCACCGAACCGATTGCCGCACCCCCAGAGCTGATAATGTAGACATGCCACTGTATCGTATGTAGAAATGTTGAACTTCTTTCGCGCCGGACGTAGTCAACCGTGCTAATCGGAGTTGCGGGCAAGAGCATTTAGCATATTGGATCATGTTCAACAAACCCCCAAAAATCCCATCACGCTAGGAGGTAGCTCAGCAAGTAGGCCTCGGCAAGGTAAGGTAAATTACCTTTTTTACCGGGTAAAAGGGTAAAGGTTTCGACATGCCAAGGGGTAAGGTAACGGGTAGGGTAAAGGTAGCTCAGAAGAATTACCCGGTAGGGTAAAGGTAGCGAGAATAATTACCCGGTAAATACAGTACCTTGTTTACCGCTAAAAGCTCCGTGGCGCAGTCGGTGGCCTCCATTTGAAATTTAGATAATCCATTTTAAATTGCGATAATTGATGTCGGATCAGATGGAGATGGTCCACGTTCTTGAGGTATAGGTACTAGATGATGAGGTCGAGGATGCCAGCAATGGCATTTTTGGGGTTGTAGCGAACAGCAATCGAAAGAGGCAGCGGCATGCGTTCCCGTGGGAGCACACACACGATTGGATGGAGGGTGATTCCACCCACACGAACGCGTCGGGGTGGAAAGCCCACCTCAAGAAGCACAACGTGGACGCCCCAGGCAGCGAGGTCGGAACGTGGGCGTCGGCTGTCTGAAGGTTCCGTCTAACTGGGCCGGAGCGGCGCAGGATCTTATTGCCTGTCGTTCATCCGAGGACGATGGCGATGACGAACTTGATCAGGTTGTTGATGAGATCGCCATCGACCAAGACGACTGGGACGTGGAGGTTATGGAGGACGGTGTCGTCGACAGCCTCAACGCCCGATTCGAGAGTATTCTATATGTATAAAGCGCTCTACCTAGCATTTATCGTTATAAACCTTTTTCATGTGTTGTACCCCAGTAATTTCCCTGTAATCGGGTAATTTGCATGGGATAAGGGTAAAGTAGGCTCGTTGCTTTTTACCTTTTACCTTACCTGCTAAAGGGTAAAAGGTAGGGTAGAGCGATTGTATTGTGGTAAGGTAACATGTGGGTAAAGGTAGTCTTGTTTTTTTTACCGTTTAACTTTTACCTTACCTTGCCGAGGGCTATCAGCAAGCATGGACGTCCAACCTGGAAGCGTGACATTGTTAGAAAGAGGGGCGTACAACACACTCAGTTGAGGTGGAGAGCACAGTACAGTAAATGTTACAAACAAACTTTATAGGGTACACATTTCACAGACACGCTTATAAATGTAATGCTGAGCCGCAGAATGATAGCATATGCATATGTGCACATGTTGTTCCCGGGTCTGGGTGTTTGCCAAGATTGTGAACTTTTAGAAGAATCACCACTGGTGTTACATATGGGGCACTGTGGTAGTGAGATGTTAACTTCCTCGCCTGACATACAGAAGGTCGTGGGTTCGATCCCGGTCCCGACCCT